TTTTTGTGGACTAAGGAAGGGTGAGATCATTTTTAGGTGAACTTAACCCTTTGGGGGAATCACCCCTTTAGCCATAAGGACCAAGAGAATGCTGAGACACTAACCTATAGTCATGGGGACAGCCCCAGCAAGCATTTGCTATGACTCAGGGGGAGCCCCACCCACAAGGATGACTCAACTAGCCCTGCCTTGCCTGCAGGCCTGCACCCATTCTCTGGTCCAGATGGCTCCATTCCATTATCCACCAATTTAACCAGCACACTGAGGACTTAGGCCTGGAAATGCCACTGTGGAGGGGCAGGGCCACCTGGCCAGAAGCTCAAATTCCTGCACCTTGTAGTGCCTCAACCTTCCTGCTCCCAAGCCATGATAAAGGAGGCAAGTCACACTACCTGTCCCCCATTCTGACACCCAAGCTCAAATCACACAGCACCTTGTTAGAATCTTTTTTATTCAGAAAAAAAAAAAACAAAACCCAAAAAACAAAAAAGTTTTCCAACTACACACAGGAGGGGTATGGGTAGGGGGAGGTGTCTGTCCATCCAGCCCTGGTCCCCAGCCCATGTGGTTTTGGCAGCAATAAGGGGTATGGGGTAATGGCCCAAAAAATAAAATGGTGTATGTGTGTATGGGGGAGGAAAGGGGTGCAAAGCTGTGGGGAGCGGTGAAGGGGAAGGGACAGACGAGGTCAGTACTGGGAGCGCCGAAGGTGGGAGGCCATTTCATAACATTTCTTGTTGATCAAACCACCGTGGACACCTTCTTTGCCCATCAGCAGGACTAGCGTCTTGTCAGTCTTGGTGACAGTGACATTGAAGGTGGGGGCCCCACCGGTGCTCTTGGTACGAAGATCCATGCTAAACTCCCCATCCTGCAGCAGTGAGTCCCGGATCACCGAACATTTCTGGCCCCCAAGTGTCAGCCCATTGACGTAAAAACTTGACCGGTCTTTGCCAACCAGGACACCCACCTCAGCTGGCGTGATGTTGACGAAGGTTTTCCCGGGGACGGCGGCCCAGACGGAGGGCGAGTCCTTGTAACCCACGATGGCCGCGTCCTGACAGGTCCCGTCCGCCATGAGGTTGTCGATGTAGGCGTTCCACCCGGCCATGGCGCTGCTACTGGGGCTGCTCTCGGCGCTGCTGCTGGGGCCGCGGGCTGGGCTCGAGCTGCCTCGGCTGGCGGGCGGGGGGAGGCGGAGAGCTCGAGACACGCGCTGCCGTCCGGACCGCGGCTCTGCTCGCTGTGCAGCAGCCCTCGCACCGCCACTTCCTGCTCCTCCCCCCCCGCCCCGCTAGATTTTTATTTGCAAAGGACGGTAGGGGCGGGGCCTACTCCCCATTCCCTTCCTCCCCCACTCGCCAGCCCAGACACCGAACTTTGCAAATGCAATTTTAAAAATCCCTCCCCCTATTGCAAAATTTGCAGAGTTCGATGGAAAGCAATGTAGAAAGATAGGGGGTGGCGGGAGAGAGGTGAAGGGTAGGGTTTGCTCCAATTTGCATTGAATATAAACCAGACTTTGCTATCGGGGCAGGGAGTGAGCCAGAAGGAAGGAAGGGAAGAGAAAGGAGGAAGAATTAGCAAGCCGCAAATTTAGCAAATTAAGGAGAGTTCGGGGAGTCCAGGGTTAAACGGGATGACTCCTCCTTCCCCCACCTCCGCCGAAGGGAAGGACCGGCGGGCGGCGGCGCGTGTGCCCGCGCCTGCGCCTGCGCCAGGGCCGGGAGGGAGAGCGCATGGGGCGGTCCGGGCCGGAGCCGGCTGCACGGGAGCGCGCCCGGCCCGACCCATGTGGACCCTCCGGGAAAGGAAGGCGGGCTGGGGACGTGTCTCCCGCCTGGCGGAAAGGGCGGGGGCGAAGCCGTGCACGCTGCCGCCTCACCACCCTTGATTTTACTTATTCAATAGGAAAGCAAAGGGAGTTTGGCCAAATACCCTAGTCGCTCTCATAGCTGAAGGCACCCACCGGGGCCACTTCTGCCCCCAGCGTCTTCCCGGGTAGTGCAGGTTAGGTTCACCAGGGCCCATTCTCAGTCCAGAGGATTGTCCCTTCTCTGGATCGGCTCTAGCCCAGGGCCTTATCCCATATCCCAGCCGCGCCTGCCCCGGGCAGGCAATGTCTGGATCACCAGCCGTGCCCCTTGGCCTGAGTCTGCAGAGGTCACTGAGCGCGGACACCCGCGGGGTTTAACAGGCGGGGCTATTTTTCGAGGCGGAAGAATACTCAAGTTGCAAGAGTGGCAACTTTTTCAAGAAGGGGAAAGTCCCACTTCGGGCCCTTTGGGTTTTTTCTCAGTCAGATGTGCGCTCGCCGCCACCTGGGGAGGGCGGGGCGGCCGGGCGGCGGCCGCGGTGAAGCCGTCTTCTCCGACCCGCCGCCGAAGGCTGGGCAGCTTCCGGAGCCTGGGTTAGGGGCGCGAGGTCACGGAGCGCGGCCCGGGCGGAAAGGGGCTTGGTTTTTTCTCTCCTCCTCCCGAGCGCGGCGCGCATCCCTGGCGTCCACGCCGAACCCCACAGTCCCCGACGCCCCTCGAGCCCGTGTTCCTCGACAGCCGCGCGGCTGAGTCACTGGCGGGCTCGGGCGGGGCCGCACCCGGGCACGTGGCGGCGCTCCCCGCCCGCCATCTCCTGACCCCTGACCCGCCGCACCCCCACCCTAGGGTGGAAAAATCCCGGGAGGAGCGGCCTGAGATGAGAGGGCGGGGCGAGATGGGAGACGGGACGGGTGGCGGGGCAGGTGGCCTGAGGTGGGGGCTGGGAGGCCGCGCTGGCCGGCGGGGCGGGGAGCAGGGGTGGGGAGAGGGAGGCGGGGGTGAGTCACCGGGCGCGGGCTGCCCCGGCGCCGGCGGGAAGGGCCTCCGAGTCGAGCCCCGTGACCCCAGCCGTTCGGCTGGCATGGCTGCAGAGGAGCTCGGGGCAGACCCCGCACTGGCCCCAGAGCCGGCAAGGTGGAGATCTCTACCGAGAGCAGAGACCCACCTCCCCGCAGTGCTACGGCGGGGCGCCGGAGGAGCCCCAGGCGTGCAGAAGCTCACAAAGGGCCACCCGTCCTCGGTCCATTCATTTTTGTTCACTGTTGATTCAACCCCATTCATTGATGGGCTGGGGCCGTGCGCTGAGCGCCCACAGTCGGTGGGGAGAAGGGCTCTGACCAATAGTCCCCACGCCGGGCGACAAGTGCTGTCCCAGCGTTATCAATCGGGCGCCGCGCCAGCCGAGAGGGCCCGTCTAAATTTGTCTCCTGGCCCCTAATTCATCCCCACCCTGGCTGGCCTGGAGAGGGTAGGATGGGGCGGCGCCGATAATGGCCGTTATGAGGACCCTAAGAGGTGAGACCCTCTCGCCTTCTGGGGTGGGGGGGTTCAATTTTAGACGTCAGAGCTTGCCCAGAAGTCCCCTCCCTTCCCCCACTGAGGGCAGAGGCCCGCCCAGCGATCTGAGCGTGTGTGGACGTCAATCCTGCAGCCCCTCTTCCAGGCCCCCTCCCCAGGCTTGCAGGGCTCAGGTTACCCCTGGCCTTTCCTAAAGGTCACACATTCCTCTTGACGTTTGCAAAAGGGGAATGTAATCCTGGGGTGGGGGAGACCCCTCATCTGAAGCCCCTCCCCTGCTCCTCCCAAAGGGTGGAATTAAAACAGGGACTGTTACTGGGGGACGGAAAGAAAGTGGGGGATAGTAGTTGACCTTTGGTAAGGGGGCAGGTGCCCAGGGCCAGAGGCTTCTGCTTTAGGCTGTAGTGGGCACTTGGCTGCCAGCCCAGTGTGAAGGGGGGAGGATGGAGAGAGAGAGAGGCGGGGCTGGCTGGGGACCCAGTGGCTCAGGGATAAATGCGCAGCCTGAGAGGGGGTGAGCTGACACTGTCCCAGCTGCCACCTAGACTCGGAGCTCCATCCAAACCTCCAACGAAGACATCCCAGGTCAGGTAAATCTTCCAGCCCCCGAGGTGGACGTAGTAAAGGGTGCACATGGTGTTGAGTTGGAGGAAGTGGGGGACGTTTCTGCTTTTTTTTCTCCTGGGACTGGAGGTGCTTGAAAAAGCTGGGGGAAGGGCGGCTGGAGCAAGCAGATGGGACAAACTCTGGGAGCACCCAAGGATCTAGGGAAAGGAGGCTGTGAGGAGGGGCAGTAAGGATGGATAGAGAAGGGCAGCTAGAGTTGGAACCTGGTAGGGAACTGGGGGCCCAAGAGGATATCGGAGCAGGAAAATGAGAACCAGAAAGGATTTGAAGGCCACCAGCGGTGAAGAACAGATTGCTTGACCAGAGGGTGGAAGGAGAAGGCCTAAGTGCAGCCCTGGGGGAGGTGGGGGCTTGGGGAGTGATGGCATCCTAGGAGCCATAGATGAGAGGCCCCTGGATTCTTAGGATGGGAGGGTGGAATAAGAGCTGTTCTGAGTGGGGGAGGGGGCTGCGCCTGCCTCTTTGGTCTGTGACCTTTTTGTAGGGTATTTTTAGCTCCAGCACCTGCCTTCTTGGAGTGGGGAAGACTCTTAAAGGGCAAGGGATTTCTGGTTCCTTAAGAGATCAACTGTCTACACTCACATCTCCTGTCCTGCAGCCATGGCCATGCAGAAAATCTTTGCCCGGGAAATCCTGGACTCCAGGGGCAACCCCACAGTGGAGGTGGACCTGCACACAGCCAAGGGTAACATGAGGCCCATTGGATAGGCTTGCCCCAGAAGACCCCAACCCTTTGGCCTTTACCCCCCAATTCTGTGCCATATCTTCTCCTTTCTCTCAGGTTCCCTTTCCCAGACTTCTTCCCAAGCCCTCTTCCAAAATGGAACCAGAGCTGGAAGCTGGGAGAAGAGGAGAAGCAGGAGTCTCTCTCTGCACTGCCTCCTGTCCCTGAGCTTAGAGAGGATACCTCAGCCCTTTGAGGGGTAGAGGGGACTCCCTGTGAGCTCTTTTTTTTTTTTTTTTTTTTTGAGACTGAGTCTCGCTCTGTCACCCAGGCTGGAGTGCAGTGGTGCAATCTCGGCTCACTGCAACCTCCACCTCCCAGGTTCAAGCGATTCTCATGCCTCAACCTCCCAAGTAGCTGGGATTACATGCCTGTGCCATCACGCCCAGCTAATTTTTGTATTTTTAGTAGAGACGGTTTCACCATGTTGGCCAGGCTGGTCTTGAACTCTTGACCTCAAGTGATCCACCTGCCTAGGCCTCCCAAAGTGCTGGAATTACAGGCATGAGCCACTTGGCCTAGCCATCCCTGTGATCTTCCAATTCCTCCTGCCCCAGGCCGATTCCGAGCAGCTGTGCCCAGTGGGGCTTCCACGGGTATCTATGAAGCTCTGGAACTAAGAGATGGGGACAAAGGCCGCTACCTGGGGAAAGGTGAGGAGACACCAGTGCAGGAGTCTGTGTGGGTGGCTTTAGGACATGGGTGCACAATGGGTAGAGGACCGGAACCCCCAAAGCTCTTGAGGAGCTGGGGTCCACAGAAAGAGGCCCAATTGATTGAGATCCAAACCTCGTCCTCTGGCCTGTCTAGGAGTCCTGAAGGCTGTGGAGCACATCAACAAGACTCTAGGCCCTGCTCTGCTGGAAAAGGCAAGTGGGGAAGCCGGCTCCCTGGAGTCTCCTCTCCATGCCCCTGCTCCCTCACCCCAGACACGCCTCTCCCCATTTTCACTTATCCTCCCCTTGTACGTGCCCTGACTTCTGAGAAATCTGACCTCCTCTCCCCTCTCAAACCCACCCTTCCAGAAACTAAGTGTTGTGGATCAAGAAAAAGTTGACAAATTTATGATTGAGCTGGATGGGACCGAGAATAAGTGTGAGTGAAGGGCAGCGGTGGGGAAGGGTTGAGGTATGGGAGAGATGGTGAGAGGCCACAGGGGTGAGGCCTGATGGGTTATTTCTGAGTCCCCCATTTTGGGTCACACCGCAGCTGGATGGATTTGTGTTCATTCCACAGGCATTTCCTATGCCTGCCCTCTGCCAGGCCTGGGCTGGGCCGTGGACACAGACATGCAGCTGACACATTCCCCCGGGGTGGGGGCTCCCAGAGCTACTCAGGCGGTAGGAGAGAGATCTGTTAACCAATTCTTCATGCTCAGTGGTTTGGAGCTCTGGCGTCTTCCTGGAGTAGCCACCCCAAACCCGGAAGAAGCTCTCATCCTTTCTTCCCGCTTGCCTCCTTCCAGCCAAGTTTGGGGCCAATGCCATCCTGGGCGTGTCCTTGGCCGTGTGTAAGGCAGGAGCAGCTGAGAAGGGGGTCCCCCTGTACCGCCACATCGCAGATCTCGCTGGGAACCCTGACCTCATACTCCCAGTGCCAGTAAGTGCAGCTACCCGCCCCCACTAGATCTCGCTGTGACACAGCCACCCCCACCCAGCCAGGGATGCCCCCATGGAAAATCCACCTTTCAGACCAGCTCCTAAGAAGCAGTTTCCTGAAACTGAATCTCTCCTGCTGTGGTCCAGCCCCTCCCTCTTTCCCACAATCCAAACCTTCCCTGAAGCCTCTATGTGCTTCCTTCCCTGCCATATAACCCAGTTCCTTCCCATTCCAATCCTAGGCTGGGTCACTCCAGCCTCATTCCAACCCCGCACCCTACACCCCACACCCCAAATCATATTGAGAGTTTCTTTGAGGCAAAGATCTTGGCATTTCTTTGTATCTTCTTGAGTCCTTCTTACACCAGTGCCCTCTTAATGAATGGAAACTCTTTGAATTTAATCTCAATAATAATGTTACCATTTCTTGTTACTTACTAGGAAGATTGCATAAGAGCATGGACTCTAGAGATAGATTGCTGGGTTTGAATCCTGGCTCTGCCTGTTATTAGTTGTATGATATTAG